TGTATTAGTAATCTCGGTGGCGGTTATTGTTGTTACCGCTTTGTTGGCATCTCCAATAGCTCCGCTATTATCAATATTAGTTATATCTATAGTATCAGCTTTAATTGAAGCACTTGTTTGGTTAGTTATATTTAAGCCGCCACCACCCTTAGTGATATTAGTAACTGTAATTTGACCATGACTAGTATTAGTTATTTTTGATGCGGCACCCGAGCCATTAATAGCAGTAGCTGTAATTGCAGCAGATGCACCTGTATTAGTAATCTCGGTGGCGGTTATTGTTGTTACTGCTTTGCTGGCATCTCCAATTTTTCCGCTATTATCAATATCTGACTCTATTTCTTTAGCTGTAATCGTACCATCGGTGTTGCTTATTTCAGTTGCGGTTATTTTGGCTGTAACTTCAATTTTGCTATTTTTTCCTTTATTAATTATATTTAGTTTAACACCGCTATTACCAATATTACCAGACTTAATGTGTCCGCCATCTTTATTAGTTATTTTTGGATTATTACCTGAACCATTAATAGCAGTAGCTGTAATTGTAGCATTTGTACCTGTATTAGTAATCTCGGTGGCGGTTATTGTTGTTACTGCTTTGGTGCTATCTCCAATTTTTGCACTATTATAAATTTTATCTGCTGTTAATGTTGTTATCGCAGCAGTTGTTCCAAGATTTCCAGAATTACTAACTTCCGTAACACTTATAGCAGTAGATGTAATTGTAGAGCTATTAATTAGATTAAACTTTATAGAACTATTAGCTGTTAATTCAATTCCACCGCCGATTTCACCTGTATCTTTATTAGTTAATTCAAAAGCTGTTGTATTGCCTGTTGTATTGCCACTAATTTTAAAACCGCCTGTAATTGAGCCTATATTAATAAACTTAGCTATGTTAGCTGTTAATGCTTGTATTGGAAAATTTGTACTTGATGTATCACCAATAGCAACTCCATTAGTTATGGTGCCTTTATTAGTAATAATACTTTTTATTGTTACATGCTCACCAGCTATCGAAAAACCTGCTTTACTACTACTACTACCACCAGCCAAATTAGCAGTTGCTTCAATAACAAAACCAT